GTCACAGGGGTCACTGGTGCCCATGTCCAGCAGTCACTGTGCGAGAGGCGGAGGACACCCTGGACAGTTCTCAAGAAAAACAGCCATTCACTAGGGACAATTTGGAGTTACCAATCAGCCTAACATGTATGTTTTTGGTCTGTGGGAGGAAACTGGAGTACCAGGAGAAAACCCACACATGCACAGAGAGAACATGCAAACTCCACTCAAAAAGGCCCCCAGACCAGGATTTGAACCGTGGCAACCTGCTCATTGAGAGGCAACGGCTCTACCAACTGTGCCACCGTGCTGCCCATATCAGCAACAATCATGCCCACGTCAAAAGAAGTGGAAAATTGTCAACTTTAATTGCAGATACTTAAAAGTGCTGGAAAAATGGTACAACCTCAATTCCACAAAGTCGGGATGTTGTGTAAAATTCAAATAAATTTGAATGTAAGAAACTGCAACTCATCGAAACCCATATTTTATTCACAGTGGAACACAGTAAACATAACAAAAAAAAGTTCATTTTAGATTTGATGGCAGCAATTAAAAAAATAATAAAACAGACGAATGTTTATGTCTATGAGGAAACCCCTCTTTTTGAAGTTTTTGAGGGGATATTTTCCCATTCTTGTCCGATGTAGTTAGCTGTTCAGCAGTCTGTGTCTTCTTTGCTGGATTATTTGCTGGATTGGAGCATGTGTTCTAAAACCTGTTTACAACTTTCTGCACTGATGGTGCCCTTCCAGGTGTGTAGGTGGGCACTAATACACCCCCATACCATCAGAGAGGCAGGCTTTTGAACTGTGCTGTTAATAGACTGGATGGTCTCCCTTCCTTAGTACTGAGAACAGGAAATGTGTGATTTCTATAAGAAATTTCAGTTTTTGGTTTGTTTAACAACAAAGCAGTTTTCCATTTTAAACTGCAAAAAGTTTACAGAAATGGGTTTTTGGAAGTGTTATTGAGCCCTTGCAGTGATGTCCAGAATCAGATCCAGTGCCGCCTGAAGGTCCGAAGATCATGAGCAAAACTCAAAAGGGACTTCCAGTCTTGTCCTTTGAACTCAAAGATTTCTCCAGATTCTTGAATTTGTTTTGTAATATTGTAAACTATAGATGATGGAAAATCCTAAATATTTCTAATTATTTGTTGAGGAACATTATTGTGAAATTGTTGCTTTTTTATAGACAGTTTTACAAACTGATACAGCTTTACTCATTTTACCTTCTGAGAGACTCAACCGTTTAAACTGTTTCTTCTTGTTTTATAGCCAGTCCTCTTTCTGACCTGTTGCTAAATGCTCCTCCTGCTGCGTCTTATTTGTACCACATACCACATACTTTTATTGCCGCTGTCCCATTGTTGTAAATGTGTTGCTGCCATTAAATTAACCTTCGTTTTAAATTTAAAAAAAGCATATTGTTTCTTGCTTTAAGCATTAGATACATTTCCAGTGTTCCACCATTATTTAAACTTCTGCTTATGAGGTTTGCGTTCTATGTTTACTTACATTCTTTAGAAATCCCCAGCATTTTTTTGAATTGGAGTTGTGCACACAATCCTGTTTGCACAGCACATACGCACACTTTAATATGTTGTAAAAACCAAAATGCTGAAAGGTTTGTTCCAAGCCTGTAAAACCAATATAGACTCTTTTTATTAAGCCCTATTGATCTGACGGAAGGAGCAGGAAGATGGCGGAGAACATAAATTATGCCTGGGGTGCTCCTTAAAACTAGAAACAAGCCTCTTATCGTTATTGTTCTGCACTGTTCTCTTCTTCTGGATATCATCTCATGCATTTCAAGGAGTCTTTCCAAGCGTCTGTCAGCTCCCTGACTTCCTATTGCAATGTCTATGTGACAGTAGTTTTTTTTAAACAACAAATAAAACAGCGAGGCAACCAGTCCTTCCTCCTTATGTTGGTTATTCTGCACAGCTGCAGTGTGTCACGTCCAAATGGCACAAAAGCAACCATTTTGTTTCACCTCTTGTTCAAGAATACGAATGTCATCGTGCAGTACTGCAGTGTCACGGTGGCACAACTTTCGTCTGTGGCTCCAAAACAAATTACTACTTTATTTTTTTTTGCTACAAACTCTGCAGAGCAAGCTTTTTCAAGTCTCCAGTGCTACTGTCAAATACAGTGGACCTGTCACAGAGATCCCATCTCCAGTAATCCCAGGGTGGCCTTTGCTCTGCCTGTCAGCAATAGCAACCAATAACCCTGCACAATAAAACCCTCCAAAACAACAGTGGGCCGCAGGCGGCTTCAAGGGCTACTGACGGCGATCTATAAAACAATATAATGGCTTGACTGTCAGCGAGTGTGAAAGGGAAGATCTACACCTCCTCAGACTCTCTGAGGGGACGTCAATTAATCACAGCAGAATTGTATCACCACGCGATAGGAGTGTAAGGTTATTACTATACCCGTATTCATCCCCGGATGAAACGCGATGATGGCACTAATTGAGGAGGGGGAAAAAACAGCTGACCACACAACACTTGTCAAGCAGATGAAGGGCAAATAAAAGAAGGAGGTGAGCAAGGAAAGAGGGAAAGAAGAAATGGAGAAGATAAAGAGAAGGTTTGTGGGGACTGCGGACATATTCACAATGATGTGTAAGCATGACCATAAATATCTAAAGTCTGCGTGCAACGCAGCTGACGCCAAACACTCGGGACTCTTGTGTAATCAAAGCACAACACAGAAAAATGAAACCATTGTCCTTTAGATAAAGACACACAGCTGGCACTTGGAGTTGAAGCTGTTCCTCTCTCTCCCTTGTGAGGAACTCAGATCCACATTTACCAGGCCTGTTGAGCTTCACTGCGGGGAGTCGTGTTTATTCTGGGGTCCCCTTTCTAAAGGTGCAGAAGATATATATATATATATATATATATATATATATATATATGGAGATGAAGCGCACCTGTTTTTGCAGAGTAAGCTCCATACAAACACTATATACACACAAAAATGTCATATCAAACTTAGGTCGCCCATTTAGCAACAGAAGAACTTAAGAGTGGTCAGGAGTAGCCACCGCAGATTTGAACTTTCAGAAAAATCCCACACATTCAAATGTAATGGTCTTTGGGCGGTTACTGATTTACGTAAAACAGGAATTTTATCCACAACATCCCAGTTTACAGAGCAGGGTCATTCAGCTAAATTGCTCAGGGGGCCACAGTTTCTGAAAGCTAAAAGCTCAGGGGCTGGACATCCAGCAGTTATTGTCATTAAGTACGTTTGTTTTATGGTTTAAAATCTAGTTTTATTTAAAAATGAACCCACTGATGGGACAAACTGAGCTCAGTCATGGGCCTGATTTGGCCCCCGGGCCGCCAGTTGAACTGTTCCGTTATAGAGCATCACTGACATCAGGTTTTGATCAAAGTGCTCCTGAAATAATTAAATCACACACAGATACAGTGTAAATGTATAGACTGATAATAGTTCTATAATTTTATTATACACATGGTTTATTAGTGGTTTATTTTATATTTTTGCTATTTTTTTAATGTAACTGGGATATTGGGGTACACAATTTCGTTCCACCTCATGTACCACATGTGATGCGAATGACAATAAAGAACCTTGAACTTTATAACGGTGATTTTTATATATAAAGCCATGTTTGTTTCATTTGTAATCATTCAATCTATATTCCTGTACCTGCTTTGTCCGGGGCTGCAGGAGGGGGTTGAGGAGAGGACGACCCAGCTGGCACTGGTTAAAATAATTGTGTGCATCTTGAACAAGTTGCCAGTTCATCACACGCTGTTTTTTTATACTTCAAATTTAAAATGTCTTATTATTTTAACATAAATGTTTAAGATATATTGCATATCAGTGAGTGGAATATCAATACTGCAAAGAACTGCATGGACCACAATAAATCAAAGGATATTATATATCAAGTACCATGTGTTCATGTACTGCGTGCTAATAATATATTTGGATGATCCAACGGACTCTCCTTCACGTCAGTGATGACAGAAGAGAATGTGAAAAGGGAGGAAAATGTGGGTTTGTCACAGTTGATATCATCATCGCAATATGAAATGATAATATCACACACTGCAAATTTATCTTATGATTTATAATCATCCAAATTTTGGGACCATTCATTTTTAGATTGTTTTCTCATTATTTTGAATCCATATCTTTAAAAGAGGAGTCAAAGTCATGTGAGTGAGTCAAGCCAGAGCTGCAGCGGCATTTTAAGGTGTTTATGAGCACATAACCTTTTCATTTATGTCTGTGAGAATGAATGGCATGGATATGTCCTTGTTGTAAAGACTAAAGAGAACATTTTATCACACAGAAAAGTCAAGAAGACAGATTCACTCTGCGGGCTCTGTGACCCTGCCTGTCTGACTGACTTGTTCTCATACACCCACTCACTTTTTTTTTTTTTTTTTTTTTTTTTCCAGAGAGGAAATGTGGGACGAAGCATCTTCTTCACTGGCACTTTGACTCGTGCTGCTGCTTCACTTAAATAATACATTACCAGTTAATTGTATTGAGAATTTAGACAGATTAACAGTAATATGGATCAGAAGCTGTTGTTTTTTTTTGTTTTTTTTTATCAGAAATGACTGAAACATGGAAAGGAGTAACCAATGAACATTACTGAGTCAGTTCTGTGCAGTGACATGCAATGCAAAAATAAAATAAAATTTAAATATATCAACTGGGCCACCCCATTGAAAGAGAAAATCTCTGCCTCTGATCAAATGTAAGCAGTCAGTAAAAATATATATTGCTGCACATAATATTCTCTGCTTTTGACAATATGAAGTTGAATATTTGCCAGCCTGCAGCTACACAAGAACGCCACCTCATCAATTCCCAGCTGGGATCACAAGTAAAATCAATCATTTTATCGATCCAGCAGGAGACAATCCTTTAGACAGGTGGAATTCGTGACTTTTGGATTGAGAAATTCACACTTTAAATTCCACAGATTGTCAAAGACCCAAGAGCTGCATTGCCAACCTACCTGCCGTTTTTCTCTCAGCTGATCAATTAATCCAGATTAACGTCCCTTTCATTTATGCTCCATTCCCAGATTCACAGCAGAAACCTGTTCTTCGGGGAATTCAGATTTCCTCCTGGTCTCTTCCAGACTCCCTGGATAACACATAACCTAAACGCACAGGTCTGACACCAGGGCTCTTCAGATGCTCAATCCCAGAGTCCGAACCCCCTCAGAACTTGGTCTGCTGCGCGCATGCAGGCGGCGGACTTGAAAGTCTATAAAAGTTGCTGCTCCTCCGGGGCTGAGGCGCAACTTCCCGTCCGCCCGCGCTCCGCGGCAGCTGGACACCACGCCGGACACGCGCTCATAGTCTCTGGATTAAAATAACGAGTGTGTTTGTCATTTTCCCACAAGCCTCCATTCACAAAGTGCGCATGCAGTTGGACTCTGGGCAGCAGCGTCGTGCAGTTAGAGAAAAGCATCTGAAGCTCTGAAGATGAGAGACTCATCAGTCAGGCTGAGCAGACTGCAGGAGATGCGCTGGTGTTTTAGCGCCTCCCAGCGGCCATTGATGGCAACAAGCATTTATCAATGACTAGAAAATACTGTATTCCTTCAATTGCTTACCCATATTTGATATATACTGCCTGGACAAAAGATAAAGTCGCCACCTTGATTTAACTAAGCAAATAGGTACGAGCCTCCTATGGATAATTACTGCATGGGTGATTATCTTTCAATTGGTAACAAGTTATTTAACCCCAACTGGCGCAATGAGTTGCTTCTCATTTCTTAAACAACCATGATGAAAGACACGTCGCGTGGTCGTGGAAAATATGTCATTCTGTTTGAGAAGGGTCAAATCATTGGCATCAAGCAGAGAAAGCATCTAAGGAGATTGCAGAAACTACTAAAATTGGGTTAAGAACTGTCCAACGCATTATTAAAAACTGGAAGGATAGCGGGGACACATCGTCTTTAAGGAAGAAATGTGGCCGGAAAAAAAAAAATCCCCGAATGATCGTGATCGGTGAACACTTAAACGTTTGGTGAAATCAAAGCAAATAAAAACAACTGTAGCACTCAGGGCTGTGTTTAATATTGAAAGTAAGAGCATTTCCACACGCACAATGCGAAGGGAACTAAAGGGATTGGGACTGAACAGCTGTGTAGCCTTCAGAAAACCACTAATCACTGAGGTTAATCGGAAAAAAAGGCTTCAATTTGCTAGGGAGCATAAAGATCGGACTCTGGAGCAATGGAAGAAGGTCATGTGGTCTGATGAAACAGAAAAGTGCAGAGAATCAAGCTTTCAAAGGCATGAATCGGTTTTAAAATGTGCACATCTTTAAATATTGTTGTACTCTGGGAAACCACAAACAAAGAAATGCAAAACTTCGACAATAGGCTAAAAAATGAAAAGCAAGTTGTTCTTTTAGCCTTTTGGAGACTGGTTCATCTTTTGGTTTTGACAGTAAGAAGCAGTTTGACAAGGAGTGTCCATTTCATGCTTCTGTTCATTTCTCATATTCTTATCTCAGTGTCCTCAAGCTTTAATTGCCAGTCTACAAATACTTCTCTGTAGCTACTGTACATTATCATTTATCCATTTTATTCAGTAGTTTGTTGCATTAGATCTGTCAAAACCCAGAAATGGGTGGAAAAATCAATACTAAGCTCTAAAGCAACCTATAGCATTTGTATTTCAGTAAGTGGGACGACCCTTAGAGAATGTTGCCATCTTAACGCCAAAGTCAAGTGCCTTATAGAAATTTCCATAAACACACACACACACAACATCACACAGATGCAGGCATTAAGAAAGAGTGCACCAGTCCCTGCTGACCGAGTACAAACAGACGTCAGCTCCTCATCAGTGACCAGTCTGGGCTATAAAATTCAAAGCAGATACCAGAGCCGAGCTTCACGTCGCCTCCTGCCTGCCCGTGAATACTGCACACAATATTTTGTATTCTCTTTGCGTCGTTCATATTAAACGTCTCCTAAACTAATCAAGTTTCTTTCTTCCTCGTGCGTCTCGCACATAGACCGAGGAGATGACCTCATTAATCTTTTGAGCATTGTGTGGAGCTGTATGCTGTCATCCCCCGAACGCTGCGGTTCATGACACCGCTCTGCTCATTAAATCATATGACAGGATGAGGTCAGCAGTGTGGGAAGGTGTCTGAAACAGATAAAGCCTATAGTGGGAGCCCAACAGCCAGCTGACTCATAAGGTAATCCCAGTTTGTGAGTATTTGGCATCACAGTTAAGTAATAATCTCTGGTTTTGTAACACACAATAAGAGGCTCTCTGAGCTTGCGGCGTCATGTGATTTGGCACCTTTGAGAGGAACCCTCACCGCCACGGATGGTGCTTTTAGAGTAGGTGGCACTTTGCATAACGCTCACCTTCCTGTGCTCGTCATCCTGCGATTACGCTCGTTTCACACGGGCAACGCAAGCTGCGCAGGTTTCACAGCTCCACGCCGATGGTGGTGCGGTGGCTCAAAATAACACCAAGCTGCAAGGAGAACGATGAGCACTCCACCTGAACCCTCACTTCTTTTCCACAGAAGTGTGTTTGAAGACGGCAAGACGTTTGGAAGATTGCAGACGGGGGGGAATAACAGACATTATGGCCTTTGGAGTGGAGCTCCCCATCAATAATGCAGAGGAAGCAGCAGTTAATGCCCCCTTTAATTCAACAGGTCTGCAGACATCGGTACAGTTATTCTTCCTGGGCTGCAGATGTTCAGTGAGAGGCCTCTACATCAGGCTTTATGGCTTCGTGTGAGTGGCTGGACTGCCGGGTCTTTCTCTCGACCTCAATCCCAACTGCAGAGCCATTAATAGGTTTTCATCAGGGGCCCCCGATAATGGAGTTTCCGACTTCACCAACACTCTGTTGAGCCAGTGGAGAGCTGCATCCATAAAGAAAGAAATAATGCCCACATAAAGCCAGAATATATGAGCTCAATTTAGTGTGAACACTGAGAGTACATCTTTAGGAGGAAAAAAAAAATAGGTGGAGAAATAGCTTCTTCAGAACAGAAATTGTTGCACAGCAAAACAACTTGGTTAGACTAAAACAATTAGAAAACTATACGAGTTTGAAAATTAAAAAAAAAAAAAATAGCTAGAAAATAAATACTGGGTTGATTTCAGCTCATTTGGATTGTGTAAATGTAAGTGTAATAGATTTAAATTTGTCATATAAACAGGAAATAAGAGCAAAAAACACAAGTGCTCATCAGATTTTATTTTGCCTTAATAAACCTCTCAAAGGAGCATGCTGAGAATTAAAAATAATGCTTTCCATTGAAAATATTGCAAATGACTAAGATTTGCTTTGCTATGACCTTTTACACTTTAAGTTGTGTAACTTAAATGTGTGAAAGTGGAGCTGCAAATATATTTATCCAGCATAAATTAGGCACCAGCCTGGGAACTGCTTATGCAACAAAATACAATTTTTTATACTCATTGTTTGCTTTATAT